TTTATAACATCTTATTAGACTCAGTTATTTAAAATTAGTTTTAGAGTTTAATAGTAATTTATCTATGTAAATAATATTTAATTTTTTATTTATCATAATCTATAAATATTATCAATTTAACTATTAAATTGGGTAGTATTATTATAATTAATTAATCATTATGTTTGCAAAATTTTCTATAATTTAATTATTTAAAATATGTAACTAACTATATTTTATTTATTTGAACATCAAATAATATACCGTACATTAAAATTAAATAATGGAATATATATATATATATATATAAATTAAAAGTTTGTTGTTTTGTTTTTGCTGAGTCTTAAACATATGTTTGTAGGGCAGCCAATGAAAGCTTGAAATGAGGCAGCTAAAAGTGGGATCGATGACGAATGGAAGACAGCAAGTTTACATTGCTGACGCGTGTATAGTGCTTTGGATGCTACCTTTCTTAATTTTGGTAATGATTCACTACAACCCATCACATATCCTGCTTCTTTCAAATTATTTTAAATACTTTTAAATATTCTAAATCAATTTTGTGGAATTAACTTTTTGCCTACCTTCAAATTAGTTCATTTATAAAGAAATTAGTTAAATCTTATTGCTAAAAGTTAAAATTGTGAGATTTAGTCTATTTTTAAACAAATAATAAGTTGTTGATGTGAATGATATTTGTCTCAATTTATTTTAATGTAAAATCTTAAGTTTGAGTATTGTAACGACTCATGAAATCATTATTATTAATTAATAGAGAAAATTAGTCTACTAAAATATTTAAGATTAAGGGAGAAAACCTGTCATATATATATATAACATGAATATAAAAGTAAAACACCTATACTAATATACACAAGTTATATATACATGTATACAGTAATCCCAAAATAATTCTATGTCCTAACATCAATTAAGCACAACTATACAAGCTACATGCAATAATACTGTCACCAACAAAAAATAACACCACCTGTCAACAACAGTTCCTCAAGCCTAGCCGTAATATACTCTTATACAACATATAATTATCCCGGTCCACATCATAGGGAAACAAAAATGGTAAGTTAGAGTTCAAAAATACTTAAGTATAGAAAACAATTCTATAACCTATAACATCACAGCAAAACATACATGAAAGGTAAACATCCCAAAGTAAACATGTATCTCATCCACGCCATGTCAAGCAAGACATTCAATAATGCACATGATCACACCACAACATACATCATATGCAAACATCTCAACCAATGTGTCATTATGCATTCACTTACGAAGGTCTCTTAACAACATAAACATTCTAAGTGACTCCATCCTGTCAAATCAACTCAATCATTTTTGCACTCAAAGCGTTGGCTCAAATATAGAAAAATGGGATACCAATCCCTCCTCTGGTTTCTCGGCTATTGTACTTATACTAGAAAAGTTTGGTTTAATTGTTAGGAATAGTACAACTAGGTATATGCTTATTATGAACTTGACATGTATTACCAAGTTACGTATAGAGTTCGTCCATTGATTATCCTAAATGAACCATGCAACCTTTCAAAGTACTTGGTTAAGGGTTGTAGCCTCCAACCTCTTACCTTACTCAACCACTAACTAAGGATCTAGAAAAGACATCAACACACCTTAAAACCCACTCTAAGAGACAAACCTACTCAAGGAGGATTATCCAACAGTCGCCTGCCTAAGTACCACTCGAAGATTCCCTATGTGTGGGATCTTCAATTTTTAAAACATTTTTCCTCTCCTCATGTCCTAAACTAGCTAACACATCTTAATGTCATACTGCATTCTTAGCATCCACACCTCAGTATACATTATCTATATGCATCAGATTCAGTCAATGCATATAGAAATCAATAATATAATGCAAATATACAACTTATATATGCTCATTATCATCTAACACCACACAAACATCTACATATGCCATATCCAATCAGCATATATAGAACAATCATCATACACCATAAATAATTTATATGTGCCATATCCAATCAAAAAATATAGAAAAATCCTCATACATTATGCAACATGCAATAGAATAACATAATCTACTAATGTTCATCATATAAGTTCACCAAAAACACCAGCATATCATTAAGGCATCCCGCACCTGACATGATCGAGGTGGATATTTCTTGGAACGTCATGCCTGACATGAAAAAATCCACATCCGACTTCATATAAGGTAGAGGGTGATCTGTTTGACTTACACCCAATGTCACCTCAATGGTGCTCAATGTTACCAAGTCAGAGACTTCCCATATTCTCCCACTCGGGGCTATTCAAACCATGCACGAAACCATCCTAGCTTGAGATGAGTCTTTCTCCTTACACCCAACACCACTGATCCTACATCTAACGTGACTAAGATAGAGACCTCTAGTTAGAACTATGTTTGACACCATGAAGGCACACCCAATGTGATTGTGATGTCTACATAATGCAAATGACAAAAATTTCCCAAATCACCTGAAAATAAAAGATACAAAACATGCAAAACATCTAATAATCCATACACATCTTAAGATCCAAAACCGTCAAGAAACAACACATGCAACTAAGTTTTCACCATTCACCATAATCAATCCCATTGTTAAAGAACACCTAAAACATATCCTCTTCCCTATTTAATTTGATTACAACCACATACATGATTACATTTGATGAAAATAACAACAACAACAACAATTCATAAAATCACCAAACCAGGTTGTCCTAACTTCCCTTACCTCAAATTCCAAGCAATAAAGAACGAGAAGGAAAAGAAATGAGAACTCTAAGCTTCTAAGCTCTACACCGTTCTTGATTTGGGACTATTAGCCTTTGCTTCAAATCCAATGCCTCTAGCTGTGAATCCCACACACTAGGAGGATTAAGGAAGAAGAAGAGAAGATATGGGTCATAGTTTTTCTATCTAAAATTCTCTCTCTCTCTCTCCAAGAATATGAAGAATAAAAGATTAAGAGTTTTGCTCAAAACATAAACCTTATTACCTTTTTCTTTTAGGGCCAATTGAACCTCTAATCAAAGACCCTCACAACTCATCCAACCTAACTTAGGTACAATGTTACAAGTATTATGAATAGAAACAATGTTGTTGGAAGGCAAGTATATAACAACATATCAACATAGAAAGTTATCTACCCTAAGATTATCACACATCAACAAACCCTAAACCCTACACACATCAACACACACACACACACACACATAGAAGAGATCCACTTTCTCCAACTAACTCTTCTTAATAACTCATATTATACATCAAATTTCAACGATTCAATTGTTGAATTAAAAGGTTTTAATCTGTAGATTAAGTTTACAAATTTTTGAAAATCATGTGATACTTTGTTATATAAATTAAAAGCAACATATTAAATATTTATCATCAATTTAAATTAATAAAATACAATATCAAATAGTTTTTAATTTTTTTTAAGTTTATAAACTTGATCTATATATTAAGAACTTTTAATTTAATAATTAGATCGTTAAAATTTGATGTAGAACATGAGTTACTGACTAGAGTAAGTGAATTCCTCCTTTCTCTCTATACACACACATACACGTATATATATATATATATATTATATATATATATATATATAATTACAAAACAAAATAACTTCAACGAGGTCCTACATGCGATCGAACTATATATACAACATATAAGAGAAATCATATTTGAACACTAGCCATTCAAACCATGGCCTTCGGCCTCTACTCTCAACCACAACTCTAACACCTACTCTTGATCTAATTTTATATTCATATGATCATTATAGTTCAATGCAAAAAAATAAAGGTAAACTCGATAAACAGATACATAATATACAATATATATGAAGCAACAATTTCAACCAAGTAATATTGTCATACACTCACAACTTTTTTCAACATCTTTCACATCTCATACAATAATGCAAAATGCAACATGATCAATCATACAACTTATCAACTTCTATAACAACTTATTATGCATCGATACACATAACTTCTTAGAAATCTTCTACAATGTCAAGAGGTTACTAGTCATAACTTTACTAAACCAATATCAAATTTACAATGTTTGGTCACTAAAGTATATTTCTAATAAAAAACAATAAGGTCTACCACAATATTAGTATGCATAAACAAAATACTAAATGTAATTAGTCTGTTGCATATCCTCTAAATATCATGCACCCAACTAGCACTAGGTCAAAGATTACTCTTAGGCAAACCCATGACTTACATGCTAACTCATAGCCTTTTATGTCAAGTATACAGATTGACTCCCTTTATACAGTTTTCAATAAAATCTTTAGAGGAGTCAACTTTATTATAAAACAAAACCCATTCTTGAAGGCAACTTTCTCCTATAGAGGAGTCTACTTCACTAACATTGGGCACGAGA